AAAATATTTAAGCTTATAAACTCTTAAAATTAGAACCACTAGAAAGCTTTATGCTCTCTTTATCCACAAAAATATTTAAGCTTATAAACTCTTAAAATTACTACCACTAGAAAGCTTTATGCTCTCTTTATCCACAAAAATATTTAAGCTTATAAACTCTTAAAATTACAACCACTAGAAAGCTTTATGCTCTCTTTATCCACTCACATAAGATACAGACCGACCGCTCAATCCTGAAAAGAAAATGTAAACAATGCAGGATTGCAAACAAACTGTTCATTTATATCAGCAGTATAAAAGAAGAGTATCCAAGCAGAGGTGGCGATAGCGCTTCCCCCTCCCTTTCGCGGGTGAAGGGACGCGTAATCGAGCGTAGGTGGGGTTCGCTAAGGTCTTATGAAAAATTTCATGCTTCGGCTATTCGCAAATAGCTTTCTGAACCCCTGTGGAACGTCCGACACGTGGACTCGAATGAGCCGGCCAACCCCCCATCCCTACCTTTACCGATTACTTACTTCTCCCGGAAAACGATATATAGATGTCTACTGCTTTCCCTTTTTCTCACTCCAGAAAAAGGGCGGCGAGGTCCTATTTTATGGATTAAAGAGATCTTCTTCATCCATCACAATGAAAACGCATAGAGAAGAAGGGAGTTATATTCGCACACATACCCCCACTAGAAAACGCACCACCTCATCCATCAAATATTCGAGTGTCTCCACTATGAATCATTTGATTAACTATTCGCCGCATATCAAATACACCGTCCACACCACTCAAAAGAAAGAAGGAAAAAAAAATTTTCTCCCAACCAGCAGCTTTTAAAAGGGAGGGAAGAAAATTATATTCCATAGAGCATATCTATGTGTGACGAAGACAAATTCTCCAGAGCTGAAATTCTCCCGTGGAAAAAGGAAAAATAGGGTGCTTTTCTTCCCAGATTCGGGAGAAGGTAAATGTTGAGTTCTCTAAAAATGAAGGTTGACACGTCCTCTTGATTTGATTTGAATGTCCATACGCTTTCCATTGATATTAATATTCCTATTTGAGTACATTCGAAGGCTGATGTGATGTCCAGTAGTCATTCGTGGTGATTTTGGAATTTCTGTACGTATTTTGTACATATTTTGTCGTATTTGTCAGAAGTAAGTGGAAATGAAATCGTATTGGAGAAATAATCCGTGTTTGCAAATGTCCAGTTTCGGATATTCTTTCTTCGGATATTTCTATTTCGTCCGTTCTGTTGTAAGACATTCTCAACAACTTGTCCGCTGAAATGATAGGACTTAGGATTATTTAAAAAGTGCTTAAAGGTTCTTATTTTCGTTTTTTAAAAGCCCTTAAATGTGCTTTTTCCATGAGATGTTTTTAAAAAGTGCTTAATTTTCGTTTTCGAAAATTAGATTTTTTTCCTCTATCTATTTTCCTCATCTATTTTTTTTCACCGTGTATTATGCAAAATCGTGGTTTTCACATTCTTCTATTCAACGTTTTCACAATTCATTCAACTACAATCCATTTCGTTACACCGTCGGTCCATGGCGTATGAAAGCGCCAACATGTAAAAATGTTTAATGAAATACTTGCGAGTTCGCGTGTGGCTCTACTGTGCTGAGTTCGATGAGATTCTTTCACTCTCTTGTGCAACTCTGCTGCATTTTACAAGACATTCTCAATTTCAGTCTTCCTTTTCCACCCTCTGAAATAGAACCAAAAAATCTCTCGGTCTTTCATGGTGGCTAATATAATCAAGGAAAAAGAGTTATTTGTCAGAAACTAGTTATTTTATCATGATCATCTTTTAAAATTATTTTGCATTTTGTTAATGCATATAGTGCTTAAAATTATTTTTGAGTGCTTGAAAATGTACTTTAAAGGTGCTTATTTTTTGCTGAGAAATTTGACTAAGCACCCTGTCTAGACTCTGGAAAATACGGATCCTTCAGACCTTAGACATTTTAAATTTCCGAGTCATTTTTTTTCTTCCAAAGCGAACCCTATTTAAAATTATATAAATTTCCCATTTATACTCTTCGGTGATTGCTCTCTGAACTGGAATAATCGTAATTGTTTTAAATCTGTTCTCACATGCTCTGATTTTTGCATTAGCATTAATCTTTTTGTTTATATTTTTTTAGTAGCTAGAATTTAAGGTCTAAATTTTTTCTACTTAGATTTGCTGGCACCATATTTTTTTTCCACGATGGAGAATTGCGCGTCCCAGAGGACGCGCCATAACTTTTTTTTTCACATCCATTCATCAATTTTATGCTCTATAGTGTACCCAAGTCAAAATTTTTGATGATTTATGTTTCCAGTGAGATTTATGATGGTCCAACATCATTTGATGGTCACCATCATCCAACATTTTCCATTTTGTGTTCATGATTTTTGATATGCCAACAAACTTCCATCATTCCATGATGAAAAATGCTACTTTAATACTATGATGGTTAACCATCAAGAGAAGTTTAACTCTCATGGACCAACAGTCTCTGATGATCCGTGATTTTCCATGATGGTTCCAACTATATATTTTCATGATGGTTTAATGGGACGTCTTGTTGGTTCTCAGAAATATACAATCAAAACATCAAATTGTTTTTTTATGTTGGATCATTGAGATGATGGTTGTTCATAATCATTCAAACAATTGATTTCTAAAAAACTATGATGCAAATTTGTGATGGTTCAGCAAGAACAAACCATCAAAGCAAGTTGCTATTTTTATATTGAACCATCATAAATCAGTCCGAATTCCTATATTGAGGTGATGGTTACTTATATTGCTTACCATGAAAAAATGTAATGGTTCATGACGAAATTATGGATGATTACCATTAAGATTATGTTGGTCCATCAATGGAAAACCATCAAAAATTTTGACTCTTGCATAAGCGGAATCTCAGAGTGTATAAATTTATTGAAGCAATGTAATAAAAAATACTTTTAGTCAGCTTCGAAATTCATTTGTCATTTCCAGATTTTTAATCAATATTTCACTGGATCACTAGAGTTGCGATATTATGACGATTAAATTAAGGTACAGATAATTACAATCTAGTTCAACCTTGCTCCAGAAAATTGTTAAATACAAAAATCTGGCAATAAAATTGAATTCACCCCGAAAATTTGTTTCATTACTCGTTTTCAAATCTTAAATTTAATAATAATTCTAAATAAAGTCTAAAATGAAAACGATTATGATTAATCATCTAAAAATCGTTTTCATTTTAAATATTTATAGTAATATATCTTTAAAGTTGATTTAATGATCCTGTTGATGTTGCTCACTATTCTCAACTTGAGATATAACCTACCATGCAGCCGTTTCAAGTGTTCTGTAACTTTTCCTTCTATAGATTTTAAGATATGATTTTATAGATCTTAAGTTTCCATAAATACTTATTCTATAAGTTAAGGCCAAAGAAAGCACGTGAAGATGTTTTCATAAGATGGTTCTATAATGCCGTCACAAACTGCTTCGAGATGTCTCTTCTACAACGAGTTTCGTTTTGCAATTTTATCCGTAGATTGAGTGCACCCATGTAGTGCTGTAAGAGAAAAATCGATTGTTCCAAATTAAGCAGGTAGAATTGTGGCTTTAAGGTGGTCGGCAACCTGAAGCATAAACAACTTCCATACGAGTTCGTACTCGATCGAATCGAAGTGAAGATGATTCTCATATACATTAAGGACCATCTGTCGGGCCAGAAATATGCAAAGCACACAAACCTTCCCCGAGCCACGGCAGCTTGTGCAAGGGCCGATATATTAAAACAAAAGGATTTCCTTCGCCGATATTCCCCTTTTCAGATATCTATATCGAATAAGATAGATATTACTTTAAATTTATTAAACGGTTTCGGCATTTCGTCGCGTTTACACGTCGATTGTTGGACGACTTCGCGTCGAGTCTCTCTCTCTTCGCGAAAGTGTCGACAGCTGCTACCATCCTAAGCTTGGAACATGCAGATTCGTTTCAATCCCTCCGGTTCGCATCTATTTATTCTTCTGCAGATCGATTGGCGACGTTTTGACTTTCTAAAGAGTCAAGATGGAAAATTTTCTACTCAAATGGTGGTTGAGGAAGGGTGGAAGAAAGTTATCACCCCCCTCCCCTCTGACAGAAAGCCGGATTTCTATTGTTATTTTACATATTGCACGCCAAGACGTGCCTCTTTTCATAGCTTTCCCCTATAAGTATTCCCTTTTATTTCTCTTTTCCCTCCTCTTCACTGCGTTATATTTCTTAAAACAAAGGGTTATTCTAAAGATACGACATTCAATAAAATGACTTGTTTACGCTTCACTTGATCTCGCTTCAATACACGTCGTTCATGTTTTTTTTTTCTTCCCCGTCCTCTTGTTTCTGAAGAAAGGGATATTACAGTATTTTGTTTTTATTTTTGTTTTCTTGTTTTTAGTATGTTTACCCTGGTAATCGTTGGTTGTCTAATAGATTTCTAGAAGTTACTTTAAATAATTATCATCGCCACCAATAAACGGTTTATCCACTTACCGTTTCGAACGAGCTGAATGTATGCCTGGGAATTGTATATTCACGTCTTTCATGTTTTTTCACGTCCTTTTATTTTCTGAAGAAAGGGACCTTACAGTATTATTATTTTTTTTTTTCCAGTTTTGTTTTTGCTTTCCAATAAGACACTCGAGAGAATAAGCGTCCGATATCCAATACGATTCATTGCTTTTTTTACATTTGTTTGAATTAAAGTTCTGTCTCATGGCTTAAAGAACTTCCTTCTCAAGTCCTTAAACTTTTCATAATTCTTAAAGATTTACTCAGTTAGTTAATATTAGGTATCAAATACATAATTGCTCTATTTATGTTATTAAAGATTTAAACTCTGTGCAAAGATTTTTCTGAGGCCGGCGTTGCCGGCCGTTTATGGCGTCTAATGTTCAATTGTTTTTTTATTATCTGAAATTTCGAATTAATAAATCGTTATGCTATGTTGATTTTTCTTATTTCTTTTTAGGGTTACACACCACTTCATTTAGCTGCTATGTTTGGCCACGAAGAAATAATGGAAGTCCTTATAAATACCTATGGTAAGACAAGATTCATTATTATCATTTTACTTTTCCCTAGCCACATATAGATGATATTTGTGGGCGAGTTGTTTTCGACAATGTCAACCTTCATCTATGAAAATGTACCCCTACATAGAATCCAGTTAACATGTCTTATATACTAGGAAATTGGATTTTTTTATTTTCGTAGTGGTAGACACACTACAGTACTCCTCCACTAGAATTATATCCGTGATAGAATTCGATGAACGAATACCACTAGTTGATTCATTGCAGTTTCGTGAGCAGCCGGGAGAGCTGCATTACAGTCACCGTACTCTTGCTGATCGTGAGAGCTGTATTAAGTTCATGGTCGTGGGTGCTCCTGTGTTGCCTTTAGCAGTCGAGTGAATACGGTGTACATTGTGTGTGATCGATACTGAGTAGCAACATCGTGAGGAGGACAATGTCGCAGTCACAAGTAGCAAGTCAACTGCTCAATGTGGACCATCCATCAAAGAAGGCGTGTTCAAATCGAAGTAGGCGTTTCTGCCAAGGTAGGCGGGTTCACATCAAGTCCGGGGCACAAATGTGGGGATAGTAGATATCGACAATGTCAACCTTCATCGATGAGAAGGTACCCCAACTTAGAATCGAGTTAACATGTCTTATATACTAGTGAATTGGATTTGTATTTTCGTACTGGTAGACGCACTACAATTATTTTTAAAAAATTTATTTTATCTTGTAAAGTAATCATAAGCTATAAAAAATACAGAATATGTAAACGGAAAAACAGAGAATAGTGTTTTCAAAAATTAGTAAATGGGATGTTATATTCCGTTTCTCTTGGCTTATTTCTATGAATTTAGAATGTTTATTAATAATAATAAGTTAACCGAAGAGTAGTCATATCAGGGTGGCCACTCAGTCTGGAAACCGGGAATTCTCAGGGAATTTTGAAATACCACTGGAAAACCGGGAATTCTCAGGGAATTTCACGTCGATTCTGGAAAATAATTTTGTCGCGCGTCGCCGCTCTTTTCTTCCCATTCCGTTATGTTTAGTTTTTCGGAGCGAAACGCATCTGCTTCAT